AGGAAGGAAGGAAGGAAGGAAGGAAGGAAGGAAGGAAGGAAGGAAGGAAGGAAGGAAGGAAGGAAGATAAAGCAATCTGTTGGGGATAGGGCACATTGGAATTTAAAGAGCATTTAGTGGGCACACTTATGGTAGACATAGATGTTCACAGAAATGACCATCATGGGAGACATGACTGGTTACAAAACATAAATTTATCACATTGCAAACTGGTCTATAACATTCTTTACCATTTCTGGAGGAACTCTTGAGGAGCTAACAACATTCCTTCATGTAAATGCAGTATGATGGTTGAATTTTACCTTGCAGCATTCCATTTTTTTTAAAAAAAAGTATTTTAATAAAAACTACATAGGATAAGGAACTTGGTGAACACTAAGAAAAAGATCTGGAAGTTACTTGAACCTACAATTACAACATTGCCTATTTTGGTACTACACTCTACCCTGTCTTCCATTACAATTTGACATCTACCTGGCTGAAACTACCATAATTACCACTGAACCTTGTGCCTTTGCTAGGACAATCTTTTTCATATTTTGAAATTTTCTAATGATTCATATTGTCCTAAACTCTGAAGCTTTGGTATTCTTTGTTAATCCCACATTCTAAAGCATTCCTCCTTGACTCTCCACTCAAAATCCTTGTAATTTTTTTTGACTCACTTTCTCATATAGGCAAAATGTTACCTTGAATGCTGTTGGCCTTCACAAGCTGTGCACAATCTATCAAAACCTCCTTAGGAATATCATCCACTGTTTGCCCCTAAAATAAATCAAGGTGGATATGAGCATCCTAGGTATGGGAATGCAGAGAACATGCTGTGAAAAGTTCCACAGTCCCTTGTACTGAATTTATAGATACTGTACATAAGGTAGCTACATGTCAAAGGCTTAAAAAGAGTAACAGTATGATATAAGCTCTCCTGAGCTAGAAATCATTTAATGCAAATTATGAACTGGACTGGAAATTTAAAATACGGCATCATTAAAAAATGTTGTTCTATATAATGCTACAAGACTATTTGCTGCTATTGTAATGAACAATTTTACTATAGTATTGTTTTTTTTAAAAAAGATACCTTGATCTTTCTTACACACAATTAAATTAATTTATGACAGATTTCACATGTCATACCAAGTCATTCATTTTTAAATCGTGGTTTGCTGACAAAGATAAAATTACTCTGGGTTCTCTAACTGCCATAAGCCATATAAGCATATCAAACAAACTGTAATTCTTAAGCTGATGCATGATACAAACCAATAAAACCATACAGCTCACTATCACATCTTGTTAGATGATTTGAGAATAAAAAATCATATTTTGCATGATTGAAATCCCAGAGTTTTGGCTATCCAAACTGCATGAGTCCAGAGCACTATTTGATTAGACTCCTTTGGATGACTTTAAGGCATAAGGATGTAAACAAGTATACTATTTTCAGTTCTTATTCCTCATAGCTTATTAATGAAAATTATGCTCAGCTGAATCCAAGAAGAATTTTAGTTTGATAAATTTATGGAAGTCTTCCAAAACTGAAAGCAGAATTCTAGACATAGTCCACACATGAAAAATATCAAATCATTGTTGCGAATGTTCAATAGGGCCATTCTTGAACACTGAAATGTTTTTGGGAAACTGCAAATTTCTGCCATTAGAAAAAGGTTATTTTGTACACAGCTATTGGTGTATAACTGCATAATTTTGTGCATTGTTGCTATGCAGCTATGAAAGCACCATCCCGCAACTTTTCATGGATGCATGTAACTGAGTAAAACAAGCAAAGCTGGACAGTTACCTTATGTAGCCGGAGGTAGACATGTGCTGAAGAGAGCTTGTCCACATGAAACCTAGACAAAGTGCAAAGGTTTGATAGGAATTGTGATTCAGTATCCTCCCCACAGACACAAGAATCTAGATGTTGTTATCATGTGGTCTCTGTCGCTTAATAGTATGGAGAAGTATTATGTCTTAATATGTTAATCTCTGAATGAAGACTGAGAATCCAAAGAAAAGGAAACCAGAAAGCTAAAAGAGCAAAATCTTTGATGAAAAATATTGACATAAAGTCATGTTTTCCTTCCAGTGATTCAGATGAAAACAGCACTGGAAATTGGCAAACAAAATCCTGTGCTTAACCTTGTCATGGCCATTTCTCCACCAATGAATAAGGCAAATTCATAAATCATCTCAAACAGATGCTTAGATGTTTACTATCTTCCAGAGTCCAGAACTTAATAAATCTGAGTAATGTGCCCTATTGTTCAACTATCTATTCTTTAATTGATTTCTTGGGCACTAGTATCCAAGTGAGACAAAATATTTATAAGTAAGTATTTGGGGAGGGGAAAAGTAGAAATTATAGAAATTATGATAGACGTATTCCAGCACTTTAGTTCTAATCATAATCTTGCAAGCCCACCCCAAAAGGCATTAAAAAAACATGAAAGCTAAAGCTGGAAGGATCATTCCGCTCTAACAAGGTTTGAATAAAAAGTAATGCCTCCACCTTCATAACTTTAATTTAGATTTATGTTAATAAATGAAATAATAAAATAATTCTTAAAATGATGTTTTTTATAATCTGCATTTATCTCTCCAAATAATCATCAGTATTTGCTATACACTTGGACAATGAACACATTTATTAAAGAATTCCATACAGAATTCCACACTCGAAGATCTTTCCACCTGTTCTACCTTTGTCACTTTGAAACAATAATTAGAATTCAGAAGGACAAGAAGGAACTTTCTCTGTAACATGTCAAATGGCCCCAATCCTCTTGAAGAAGCAATTGCAAAGATGGATTCCATTCTTTTATGCACCATACAGTCCACATGCCCTTTGGTTCTCACTTTTCCCAACACTGAATTTGTTTATTTTTTGTCTACATGTACATGGATGCTGCCTGACTCCAAAACAAATACCTTGCTGGGCATCCATTTGACTCAAGTGGTGGAAAGGACTGGTTGAAGAGACGTTATGTAGAGGGCTTTGTGATAGCTTTATGAAGCTTGGCCATCATTGGAGAAATACATGGTAAATGGTGATTACATGAAGAAGTAAATAGAGGTAACAAAAGAAGTCGTTTCAAGGGTTATTTTCCTATTTCATTTCTTGAAATATTATTAAACTAATGTTATGGAGGTGGAGAATTTACCTCTCATCCAACATTTGTAGTGTAACACAAAAGAATGGAGCTGATAAATCTCCCCTTTAGCATTCACAAGCTGTTTTTCCACACCAATTGAAAAACACAGGCTTTAAGAATAAAGTCCTAAATATCTATAGCCATTTCCCATCATTGTCAACTTCCAGATGTGTGGTCTCCAACTCCCAGCATCCTTCAGCCAGCACAACTGATGTTGAAAATTCTGGGAGTTCACATCCATACATCTGTTTTTGTCAAGATTGGGGAATTCTGCTCTTCAGGAAATGAATATATATGCAGAAGTGCATATTATATATTTATCATTTTTATCATGCTTTTCAACTTGAAGGGTTATAAAGTGCCAATTTTACTTACTAAAACTAAAGTCAAATCCTGAAACTGTTTCATTAAAAACAGTTGTATGGAATCAGGATGGGTGATGGCTGATAAGCTGAAATTCATTCCAAATAAGTAATATTATTGACTAGCAATGTTAGTGATTTAATACTGCTGTATTAAATAATAATTGATTTTAAATAGTGCATCTCATTTCCAGCCTACATAGTTTGCTGTCTTATAAATCTTCACAAAGAGGCAAAATACAAATATTTGATATATGGAAGTAGGATTGCAAGTAGCAGTCATATGATATCACAGTGATTCACTTAATAAACGAACTTGAAGTGAGGTTATAAACCTATCACAGTCACAGGATTTTCCAGTTATGAACGTGGTACTTAACAATAGAGTTGACAATCCCAATGGTAGTTGCTAGGTAAGGACTACCTGTATTAAGAAGAAACCCAGACTAATTCTCCCAAGTCCTTGGGATATAAGAGAGTGTGCATGTAATATGAGTTTTGAGTGGCTTGTATGAAGCCTGGCAGCTTTTGTGAAACTTTTAATAAATTGGTTACCATTTGAATATTTTTAATTCTCTCTATGGAAGGGAATTATATTTATAAATGCTTATTATAATTATTTTGTATATAAAATATAGAATAATTATATATAAAATATATAACTATAATTACATAATAACTATAATAATTAATTACATATACACACATTTAATAAGTCATGGGTTGCTTAGTTATGATTGTTTTGAATAAATCATACTTTCTGTTAGATTATACACCATAATCTACATACTACAACACTTTGGTTCAGACAACACAGTAAAAAAACAAAGAAATTGTATTACAATTATGCATGGTCGTGTTAATTTTTTCAGAATAGAATAGAATAGAATAGAATAGAATAGAATAGAATAGAATAGAATTCTTTATTGGCCAAGTGTGATTGGACACACAAGGAATTTGTCTTGGTGCAAATGCTTTCAGTGTACATAAAAGAAAAGATATATTTGTCAAGAGTCAAGAATCATAAGGTACAACACTTAATAATAGTCATAGGGTACAATAAGCAATCAAATCTTACTAGGAAACAGTCAATATAAATCGTAAGGATACAAGCGACAAAGTTACAGTCGTAGAGTCACAAGTGGGAGGGGATGGGTGATAAGGAGTGATGAGAAGGTTAACAGTAATAGTAGTGCAGACTTTGTAAATAGTTGGACAGTGTTGAAAGAATTATTTGTTTAGCAGAGTAATGGTGTTCAGGGAAAAACTGTCCTTGTGTCTAGTTGCTGGTGTGCAATGCTCTATAGCGTCATTTTGAGTGTAGGAGTTGAAACAGTTTATGTCCAGGATGTGAGGGATATATGAGATGATATAAAATCTCATCAATTTTGATGCTGTTAAAATTATATTTTTTTGCTAGTACTCTTGTGATTTTTGCAAAGTCTTTAAGCAGGCATGAAAACAACAGGAAAAACATTTTAACAGAATATATAACTTGTTTGGGAAGACTACAAAATTGCAACTGGTAGGTTGGAAACTTGTTACTGGAAATTGGGGGGAGGGGAAATCCCTCCAAAAGCAGAAAAACAGGAAATGAACTCTTTTTAAAAAAACAACACAGCATTATATATAGAGAACTAGTAAATTGACAACTGATATGCTAGAGTACTTACATTTGAGATGAAGAGAAAGAATTTCACGCATATCAGATATAGGATCTCATCTCATATTTTAAGACTGAGTCCAGAAAGGATGCTAACAACTAATTATTAGGAAAGATTTGTTTCAAATGAAAAAGGATTTCATTATGCAAAAGTAGGCTCTTTTAAGTACTTACCAAATATCTTCTAGCCAACCATATTTTATTAGATCTTCATCTAAAAGAAAATGCAAAGCAAAGACTGATCAGAGCTCTAATAGTGTTCACGTAAATTGTTTTTTTTTCTTTTCAAAAAGAAGACAAAGAATATATTTCTGAGATAACATATTTAATTTCTTTATTCTTTAGTAAAAAATACTAGGGAACAAGCATGTTATTTGCAACCTTCAGAATATTTTTATGTAGTTTCAGGTTAATTTTAAACAACATTTATATCTGATAATGATAATAGCCTCTAGCGAGATGGCTGACATAAGATATGAGATATAGGTATCAGTGCAGGTAAGTACAGTATAAGTAACAGCTGTCTGGCAGTTTCCTGTAAATTATTACTTAGAAAGAGAAAGAGAGAAATGTTACAGAATGTGAGAAAGAAAAAAGTATGTCTACTTAAAATTGTGGCTTCACCCAGGGCTTATGGCAATCACATTCACCATTTAGCTTTTAACTCCTGAGGAAAAGTAGTTCTTAACAAAAGCATTTTTGCCCACCAGAAGCCCAGGTGATGTATCACTCAATTGTACATTAGCATTTTCTTTATTACAAATACCAAATTTAGATGAATGGGAGTACAGCTTATTACATAGCAAGTATTTGATCTCTGTGCAAGGCATACAGTGCAATTTCACTTTTCAAAATGAATTTTACAATATCTATTTGATAAAAGCAATCTTGAAAACATTGGTGGGTGAGGAAGATGCATGAGGCATCTGGAAGTTGAATCGCTATTTAATTTACTTCTTGCTCCAACTTATCCATTACATTATCTTCGTTACTTGATTGTCTACAAAAGTAACATAATCTAATTTAGACTGTACACTACACTCACAATTAATACATTTGCCCTGGAACAAAATAAATGTTCCATCTGTTTAAAGATAAAAGGTTGAGAATTGGGAGGGATGGGGTCGGGGGAGTGTGAATTAATTTAGTCACTGAATTATGCAAAGGGTATTGATATTATTTAATTTTAATTTATTATTAAATTTGTTTCCTGCCCAACTCATTACATGGCGACTATATCAAGTACCGTATATAGACTATATCAACTGTATATCAAATACCATATGAAGAACCTTGGTTAACACAATATAAATCAGGAAATGTAATTAACATTGTGTTAAGATTTCTCCATATTATAAAGAATCCATTCTGATTCAAGCACTTCTCTCACAAAATTACCCGTAACTTCTATGGACAAATAAATGCACATTTTTCACATGGTAGTAATCCATGTATATAATAATCTAAGAATGATTTCCAGTTTGAGTTGAAACCTGTGTCTGATTTACTATTAAGATACAAAGCTATTCCAGATGCCAAAGCATATTCTCACAACTTTTTTATTTGTTGGGAATATTTATATGGCCACCCAACTCACTCACCATAACTCTGGGCGACTTACAGAAATAAAACTGAAAAACAAAAGGCAATAAACCACCCTGCCAACAATATTTTTTTGAAAATGATTTATCCACTCTAGCAAAACTGGAGTAATGTACCAACAACAAAATATCTTATACCAATTTACCCCAAATAAACGTTCAGAGTAAATTTTATGTTCTTCCTTTGAAGCTCCTACTGTGAAATCTTTATTATTACATTCAAATTTTGTATCCATTTAATCAAGCAGTCTTTGATCTTTCCAGATTTTATTTCACCAGCAATCTATAAATACAGTTCAACAAATATTCCGAATGATCTGTTGTAAGATTTTTCCAACTTTTCAATACTGTGTTCCCCTTATTTTTACAATTCTTTTAATCTGCAATTCTTTTAAGTACTACATGCTTGAAGATAATAAAACCATTATCTTCTGCAAGCCTCTGCTGCACTCTTGCCATAAAACTGCAGGGACTTGTCCAAACAGTTGCTAAGTGTTAACACTGACTCAGAGGAATCAAATAAATAATCCTATTGATTCAAACTGTTCTAGACCAGGGGTCGCCAACCTTTTGGACCTCAGGGACCACCAAACTCATAATTTTAGATCCCAGGGAGCACTAACCGGTTCTGTGGGCGTGTCCTAATTTATGGGTGTGGCTCGGTGGTCATGTGACTGACTGGGCATGGCTTGTATGTAAATATTATAAATATTTATATAAATATTGAATTTTTTATAAAAAAGACCAACTTTTACTCAAAATCAGGTAAAGCAGGGCAGATTGAGTTGCTCACAGAATCACAGATTCATTCATTCACTATCTATCTGCCACTGACTAGCTCAGTCTGTCACATAAAATTTGCTTGCAAGCAAACTCACAAAATTAACTCACAACAGGCTATGCATGTAAATATTGCATTTTTTATAAAAAAGAGCAACTTTTACCCAAAATCAGGCAAAGCAGGCAGATTGAGTTGCTCACAGAATCATTCAGTAATCTATCTATCTGCCATAGGCTAGCTCAGTCTCTCAGATTTGCTTGCCGTGAGTCTGCACTGAATTTGCTTGCAAGCAAACCTACAGTCCTAAGGGAGGTTCGGGTATGGTGAGCCGAAGATCTAAAGACTAGCTAGAAAGCAAGAAATCCAACCATTTCCTGCTTCCTAGCTAATCTAAATCTCCCGGCACAGCAGAACAGAGGATGGATGGAAAAAGGAAAAATAAGAATTTAGCAGGCAAGTTTACCGGGTAAGGAGTGAGTGCGGGGGAGGGTTCCGGCGGGCCATGTCGGCAACGCAGCCTTGTGTTTCTGCACAGCCTGGATTAATTGCTTTGTGGGGGTGCTCTAGGGGTGAGATTTCTCTGCGGCCCACCAAAATTTTCTCACAACCCACCAGTGGGCTGCGGCCCACAGGTTGGCTACCACTGTTCTAGACCAAGATGGCCAGGTAGATGTCACCAGGAAGTAAAACATAAACACAGGGGTATTTTTTCTCCCAGCATGGTCCTCATAATGGAAGCAATACGTTGTCATCATAACTAGCAGACCTTGCATTTTAATCCTCTAATGATTTGTTTAATCACTCTTTAAAACCATCTACATTGGCAACTATATCTTGGTAACAAATGTCCTATTTGAAAAAAAATCTTCCTTTTATCAGTTCTTAATCTCTCCCATTGGATTCTACAATATTTTAATATTACAAAAGGATCCTGTCTGTATAAGAATGGAATATGGATAATTTTATCCACATATTATAGTGTCCTGCTACTTTTTTATAAAATTTTTTAAAAAAGTTTTCCCCACTTCATTTGCTTATTTTTGGATCCCCTTTTCTGCATCCTTTAATCTTATTAGAAGCCTGGTGATTAGAAGTAACAGGATTAAAAAATTGTTATACTAGAAAGATTATAAAGGCAATGCAATTTTGACAATTATTTTTAATTCAATTCTAATGATTCCCAAAAAGAAATTTACTTTTTCATGGTTTTATTGAACACACTCATTGTAATACCTGCAAGAAATGTTAATTAATCATTTTCTAGGTTCCCATCAATTCTTAATTCCATATACAAATTTTCTTTGCAAAAATTAGAGCTATATTGGCTATTTCCAGATTCTATGATAAAAGGCCAATCTTAAAAACATTTTACATATTTCTGTTAAAAGTCAGCAGGTTGTAATTTCCTGTAATTAATTTGTCAACTACAGGTAATCCTTGACTTACAATAGTTCATTTAATGACTGTTGAAAGTTAGCACAGCATTCAAAAAAATGACATGGCCATTTTTCACACTTACGACCACTGCAACATCCCCATTGTCATGTGATCAAAATTCAGACACTTGGCAACTGACTCACATTGATGGCATTTGCAGTGTCCCAGGATTTATGGGATCACCTTTTAGGCCCTTCTAGCAAGTAAAGTCAATGGGGAAGCCAGATTCATTTAACAACTGTGCCAAGAAAGATTGTAAAATGTGGCAAAATTCACTTAACAATTGTCTCACTTAGCAACATAAATTTTGGGCTCAATTCTCATTGTAAGTGGAGTACTACATGTATGCAGAAACTTTACCTTGGTCACCAATTTCTCTCAGTTCTTAAGATTCCTCTTCTAAGGAAAAAAAATTAGCCAGATATTTGCTCTGTACACAAACAATACAAGCAAATGTCTGGCTAAACTTTTATTTTAGAAGAAGACTCTTAATGAGTGTGAGAAATTGTGACCAAAGTAAAGCTCTAAATAGTTTTTGTTGACAAACTAATTCAATTGGCTTTTCTGCAACCTTATCTTCTTTCATTTCTTCACCATCAATCTATCAGCTTCTTTTTTGTCCATATTTCACTTTTTAAAATTATTTGTCTTCACATTAACTGTAAAATTTATCTTAACTATTGTCATCATCCTGATGGTCTGCTTATATTTTTATACAACACTTTATCAATATTGATTAGGGTACTAATTTCCTAAAACTAATATCCATCCCGCCATTCTAAAAAATGTGTCTATCTAAAAGAAAGGGCAAGTGAATTTACAAGCAAGTGGAAGTTAAAAAGAGAGTTGTTACAGAAGATGCATAAATTATCAATAGATCATACCTTTTTTATGCAAATCAAAGGAATATTTTACTTACTTTCATACTTGTCTTTTCCCATATAAATTGTATAAACAGAAGGAAGAACTGAAGGATAGAAAAGAAAAAAGTAATCCATGTTTTACATCAAACTATGCAGAGATATTCAAAGATATGCCCAGATACAAAAGATTTATCTACATCAAAACTATTAAACATATTCATATCCCAATGTCACAATCATTATAAGTTTTCCTCAGCTGAGGGATAACTAAACTGTGTTCTAAAAACATCAGTTGCCTCAGTATTATTTTCAGATAGGCTCTGAAATATAAATATGTTATTATACATCTAGGGAGAAAAGGAAAATTCTTTAAAACTGTGGAAAACTATGGTCAAAAGAGAGCAAGGAATGGTTAAGCTTACAAGAGGTAAAGAAAACTGTTTTAGAAATTGGTGGAAAGTGCTAAACAATGAATGAATGGCATTACATTATGTTTGAAGTGAAGAAATGCTGGAATAATATTTTAGAAATTACAGTAATATGCCAGATAGAATTCCATAAAAGTTAGTGTTTAAGAAAAAGCTGACAGAAGAGAATATATGCTCTAAGAATGGTGGATAGGGTAAGGCTACATTACAGTTGAAAAAAGGATAACATATGGACGTGGTTTGCTTATACGGTGTATAACGTATATATGAAAACCTCACTGGTGAGGAAATCCATTAATGTTCCCCCCTTCAAAGAAAAATATTAATAATACAAAAAGGGAATTTGCTTGCTAGTCTTAGAAAGTGTTTGAATTCTGATTGAAAGCATAGTAGACATGACAATGAGCAAAATTTGGGGAAAGGAGTTTGCACTACAACAGTTCTCTGAAAAATATACGAAGGTGATAACATTTATTGTACCTTTTCTTATATAAAGAAAACTATATATAATGAAAATAGACTTTAGTTATATATGATGTTTTGTGCAAATATGGTGCTGAAAATACATTGTTGAACAAATAAAAGTTTATGATGAAACTAGAGCATAACTGACAATAAAAGGAATGCTTAAGAAAATGGCTTAACATTAAGAAGGATATAAAACAATATGTGATGTCCCTTTGTTTTTTAGTGTACTTCTGAATAAATTTATGAGAAGTCTTTGTGGTGACATTGGAGGTACAGTATATTAGTTATGGATATGAATATGCATATACTTTGCATAAGAGGCTGCAGTATTATTGGCTGAGAATCCACAAGATTTCCAGAAAATACTGTACAGGTTGTAGGGTGCAACTAGAAACATGGACCTGAAAATTAGTACAGTCTTCAAATATCAAATATAGTTGCATTTAAGGAAAGTTAAGTGAATAATTGCAATTTATTTGCCTTTTCTAATCTTTTCTCCACTTTAGAGAATACAGCTTACCCAAAGTAGAATAGCATGGTATGTAAAAATGTATACTATCAGATCGGAGGAAAAAATGTATCAAAAACAATACTGTTAAAGAGTTGTGCCAAGTAAGGCAAAAGCATAGGAGGGCAGTATTTTGTTCTCACAAACAGGACATGACACATTGAGACAGTACTCACCAATTCTACCTTCTGCTAGTCAAAATTCTGTTAGTCAATTCTACCTTCTGTTAGTGAAAATCCAAAGCAATCATTTCAACAGAAGTGTGTCGAATGTTGGAAAGTTTTGGCTTGTATTCACACATTATGCTAAACTATGGTTTGGGTCCAGCTAAACTATTTAATGTCATTTTTATTGTATAGTTTTTTTCCCCTCAAAACGTATCGAGTTGAGATGTTGTAATTTAAAAAAAGTGTCTTTTTTCATAAACGATTGGCAATCAGTGCACCAGCAGTCACTTGGTTGTATTCTTTCACAGAAAGATCACTTTTCATGAACCCACCACAGAAATCTGAGCGAAGATGCAGAGATAAGCCAGATGGGTTGGACTGATGATGACCCAAGCCCATCATTCCCCCAACCGAAACAGAAGTGGCTGGCGATAACCAGAGTTGTAATCTGTCACATCAACCGGGGAAAAGCGGTTTCAGACAGAAGCATCCACTTATATCTGAGAAGAGTTGTGAAGCTTGCGGCCAGAGCCACTCTTACCGTTGGACGTGAAATAAAATACCATGGCAACAACACCACGAAAGCTCCTTCCCACCCGCTCCGGAGATTTAAGTCAGAAAGATTCGCAAACGGCCAGCGCCTTCCGGTTCTAGCGAGGCGGCTCTCAGGAAATGACGTCGGTTAATAGTTCCCATAGAGGTAATAATTGTTAGAAGTAGAACTTTCCGAAAAATCCTACAGAGAAGTTAATTTTCCAACGATGTCTTTTACCCCCTGTATAGGTTTATAGCTAGGTACAGGGACTTCCAGTCATGTTCCCTCGTAGCCTGTGGACGCGCTGCTTCCTTAAAAATCAAACTTTCTGTTGTGTAATTTTATATAAATCTTACCCCTTAACGAGAAAAATATTTCTTTACTTTTAAGGGGACATATAGAAATGGGTGAGCTCAGGCTGGTTGAAGCGCCACTGAATCGGGCTGGATAGGTACTTGCCTACGTGACCGTTTTCGCCCTCTGTACCTATCCTTAGTGATAACCTGCAAATGTGCATTCTTTATTTAAATATTACATTTGTCATCTATGCCAGTAAGGCAGAATTTTCTGCTTCTAGGGAGGCAGAGAGAATTAGCAGCCTTCTCCAGAGGCTAATGTTCACACAATTGGTTAGGAAAGTTTCTTACTAAAGAAACTTACCTTCACGATTTCAAGGAACTGATCCAGGATATGGGTCTGTTTGTCAAAAAGTTACTGTGTTTGAAGAATGGAAATATAAAGCAACGTGCTGGAGCAGTTAAGGATTTAACGAATGGTATATTTATTTTTATTTTATTATTTGATTTGTCAATCGCTTACAAAATAATAGGTATAAGTATAAACATGAGTAAGAATACAGGAAATAGGTAAGATTAAATGGGGACAATAGGACAGAGACGGGAGGCACGATGGTGCTAATTACTATATAGTTACTATAATATATGGATCTTTTCTTTCTGTTAATTACTTAGCTTTTACTTTTTTAGTCCTGTTTATTTAAATTACCATATTTTCTAGGGTTGTTTTTTTTTACTCATAATCACCATTTCTCTATTTTTCTTTCTGTCTGTGCTAGTTGTTTTGTATTTTGCAATTTGTTTTTAAAAAAATCCCATTATCGCCAATAAATGTAGCCAGCCTGGTTCTACAAAGCTGGAAAAAGCTGATCTACATATCTAATACTATATTTTATTTCCCACCTTTATTATTTTTGTAAATAATTCAAAGCACCTAATACTCATTCTTCCTCTTATTTTCTGGAAAGCCAGCTTTCATGCCCAAAGTGGGACTAGAATTCATGGTCTCCTGGTTTGTGATCTAGTGTCTTAACTAGTGACTAGAGCAAACTAGTTCTGTTGTCTTCTGTTTCTGTATTTCATGGTAATAATTGCACTGGGGGGGTGGGAATCCTTGTAAATCAAAAAGTTTGCAGTTGTCTTGTGAAACGTTATAGGTCTCTAATACAAATAACTTTTGAAAATGGTTTTTAAAAAGTATTTGCTGGAGCTTACTAATTAATTGATACATATTTGTTTTATTCTCAGCTTTGAATTCTTGCCTGAATTGGGTTCATGTTTACAGTGAGATTAGAATTTTATAGCAAAAAAGTGAGGTCAAAATAACAAGTGAATAAACAAGCAAATGACCATAAGCAGCACTATTGTTTATTCCTAATATCTTTGTCATTTATAAGTTGAGTGGGCTGAATGTAGTTACGGTAATTTTGATGTTGTCTGCTGATCAGAAAAAGGGCTTCAGTCAAGCATAATGGGCTGCAAAAGATATTTGTGATGCAAGCATGACCTCAGATGGGAAACCCTAAGAACTTGTAGCCTAGAGGCTGACAGAGCAGCTGCTGGGCCCCAGCACCATGCTGACAATCCTGCAGAATGTTAGTTCAGACTGCTGCCACCTGCTGCTCTTTCTGCTAGTTGCCATTATACTTGTGCCTGCTACTATCTGGGCGTTCAAAAAGGTGAAAAAAATACAGGTAAGATCAAATTCTTCATTGGAAGTTGCTTAAATTTCTGATCTTGTTTCTGGTCGTGAAGAAGGGTAGAGGCTGTTACTAATATTAGATATGACAAGCTATTGTCTCATGCTTTGTTTACTTCAATTCACAAAGATCTATAATAACTCTTTAGGCTATAAGCAAACTTTTAAGGGAGAAGTGGCTCTTAAACCTCAGCTATAACTTCCCACTTCATTATCAATCTGACAGAAAGCAAGGTTTATTTCATGAGACTATGTACCTGGTTATGGATATAGTTGTCTCTTTTCATCATGTTTGATGACTGGATCTGGAACATATTAGCCAATTATTGAAAATATTTTGTATTATGTAAAGTGGTGAAATTATTTGGGAAGTGGTAAGAGAGAGAGTTTGGTTCTATTATTTTTGTGATGGTTTATTTTTTATTTTTTAAGTTGGGAATAATTTGACTACAATAAAAAAGTCAAGAAGTGTTCTATTCTCACTTTTTCTTGAGAAAAATATTTCTCTGCTCTGAGAAAAACAAATCACAGGGAAAATTCATTTTATGTTCCTTTGTGGAGGAAAATATACCTTCATCTTTATTCAGATAAGTCTTTTGCACCATCCACTCTTTGCTGTTGGCCACATGATTATTGGTTGGGTTTATATCCTGCTTTATTTCATCTGGACTGATGATCAGAGAATGCCAGAATGATAGCTGATTAAAGCAAACCAATGTAGTTTCTATCCTTGCTTCTTCCTTGCATATGAGCACCAGGCAAATCCGAGAAAGCCATTTTTATGGAGTTTTCCTCATTTTTAAAACTAATATAGGAGACTGGTTTTCCCTGCAGTCATTAGAATAGTCTTCCATAATAAGGGAATATGGAAAATATGACTGTTTTTAAAGTCATCTATATATTATTTCTGTTTGTTAAAATGAGTCATATGTCTTTCAAGAATGGTGTCCAGAAGCCTAGATATTGAAAAAGATGCCAATTTATAACAAAATAAACTTGGGAAATTTTGGCTAAGAAGCAATCTAAGATCATGCACAAGTCTTTCCTTTTACATTTTATTGGGCTGCTGGAGAGAAGGAGAATTAAAAACCAATTGGCTCATAGTATTATTAATAATGTTGCGGTTTGCAGAAATGAAGATAATTATAGGTCAAGTTTAACCTGTTTTGTGAGAGACTTGGGAGGGAAAACACTGATGATGCAAAAGTAATCTCAGGTGACATATTTCTTCTTTATAGAATATATCCTAGAATGGACAAACCAAAAGTGTCAAACTCCCAGCCCGTGGGCGCAATGGCCATGCCCACGCCCAGTTTATCGAAGTGGGGAAAATTCCCAAATACGCCACGTGATGATGCCGTGATGATGTAATTTGACCCCCCTACTGTAGACCATCTAATCTAGTCTCATCCAGTGTTAGAACATCCACAACCAATGGTTACCTGATATCTGCTTTAAGAACATCAGTGATGGAAAAAATGATACCTTTAAATAATTGTTTTCACTATTAAAGTTCTCAAAATGGACAAATTGTAAGGTTCTTTTGATGTTCAGTCGAACTGTATCCTCTCTTCAAACTTGCTATTATTATATCTAATTGTACCCTTTGGAACAGAAAAGAACAATTCTTCATAGTTTCCTATAGAAGAATTCTTCTTATGTATGTTCCTTTTCTTCTTTTTCTTCTACAGGCTCGCAACAAAAAGCAGAGCAAGTACAGAGTACCATGGATAGGTAAGTGATGCGCATGATTTCACTTTCTCTTTCTTTTTAGTTTCATAGCACCGGGGTGCCTCGGCCATCCCAGTCAACATGCCCTTCGCTGTGAATTCTGAGGGTTGACTACACATTTACCATGTATCAAGGGTGAGAAACATTGCTGTAGTAATTGGGAGGTTGAGTCTTGGAACAGCAACCTTTCTTCTGTATTTCTCCTTCTGCAGCCTCCTTGGAAAAAATAAGTTTCACAAGCACAGATCCAGGGAGGACAAAGGGTATAAGCTTAGCCACAGAACAGAAGTAAGTAACCTACTCGATATCTTCCTTAATAAGCCATTTGTATGTTCCAAAGAATAAGGTTATTGCTGCCTAGAAACAGCACCTGTTGGACAACAATTCTGCTAAAGTTGTTTGGAAAGACATCTCAGATTCTGCTCTTATCTTCATAGTATTTATTATTATCTTCATTTTAAGAAAGATATATAATAAGAGAAGAATTATCCAAGTTAAGCAGGAATCTCTGTTCTGATATGACAAATGCAGGACTATTTTTATACTTTCATGAGGAATTTAGCAAATTGAAAGAAATCAAAACTAAATTCTCATTTGAGGGTTTGGGTAATCATCAAAGTATCAAATGGGGAAGAGAAACAGATGAGCTTTTCTCTACTTTTTCTGGGACTGTTAGGAAAAAGAAAGGAAGGGAGATTCTTTAACCCAATTATTATGAATAGTTGTGGTAACTAATTATTTTAATAAAAGACATCACTCAAGTGACTGGCTTTAACAACACTACATCAACACAAAGCTGTACAGTAGAATAATAGATTATTCTAAAAGCTCAAGATGTAATCTGTGTCTATGACATTCAACAACTCAAACTTGGAAGGATTGTGTATCAATATATCTGTGTTCACTCTCCTTAACTCTCATATGCTTCCCAACTTCTGATTAATATGTAGGGAGATCTGTGTTGATTTGAACCTTCCTATTTAGAACAAAATGGAAGAATCAGTTGTAAACATACTGTATTTGGTTTACTGGGAGGTTGAAATAGGATCAAACCTATTTCTTGGGAGTGTCTTGATTGTGTTTTGATAATTCTTTGATACCTTTGCCAAACAGGATGGAGTCTCTCTTTTCAACTATAGGTTACCTTTACCCATATGGATGAGAGTCCTGACATGTCATTATGTTACTGAGACACACACATCATGCAGCCTAAATACCGCAGGCCAAAGCAATCCATTTCTTCCAGTATTTGAAGAGCCAAATATTATCGTTATAGTATAAAACTGCCATAGAGAAAGTCAGGTTTCAACCAAGAGTGTTTCTACTTGCGCTATGATATGACTGAATCTCTTTATTTGTGGTCTGGCCAAACATTGAATCAAAATTGTGGTGCAATGTAAGATATC